ATGGTGTTCGGCAGCGAGTCTGACTCGGGTGACTCGTGGGGTGCTGAGCAGCTAGACGGGTATGAGGAGGAGACCGTGCAGGGCTTTGCCCATGAGCTGCTGAATGCAAGCAAAGAAATGGACGAACTTATCTGGTCGGGCAGAGACATCGAGTCTGCAAGAAGACAAGCGGAGCTTCTGCATGGGCGCGAGTTCTTCCTGCAGCTGCGCTGTGCAGATGATTGGCTTGTTGAGGGCCTCTTACGCTGGGGTGGCGCTATGCCTGGTGAGCCGGACTTCAACCTGGACGACGCGCTTCGTGCGCTGTTCTGCTTTCATTCTGCCGGAATGACCCACCAGACGCATGGGCATCTGTATCCGGACCTGCAGTTCAAGCTCCACAGCCAAGAGGAGGCTTTAGAGCTGGCCCTGGGCATCACTAGCATGCTGGGAGAAGAGTACGTTGAAAAGGGTTATCAGGCCAAGTGGTACACGAAGCTGAAAGAGCAGTATCGCGAAGTTTTTGTCTCTTTCGAGGACTCGGACGACGATGATGCGCCGCTGTATCATGCTGTCATGATGCTGGCCAACAAAGTGCTGGGCATCGACGTTGAGAAGGTGCCCCCCAGAGAGACGGGTAGCCTAGACTTGGACGCACTTGAGCCGGCCAGTTCGCTTCCAGCAAGTGGGCTGACTCAGAGTATCCTCGCCGCAGCCCGCGGCAAGCTTCCGGCCCTCGTCACGGTGGAGGACCGTGGAGAGAAAGAGGCTATTGCGCTGAAGCTGGTCCGGGTATGGCGTGGCGTGCCGGGAACTTTGCTGGAGGTGCTGTACATGCACAATACCCGTGAGGACTTCCACAGCAGCAGCTGCTTGCAACGACTGTGCCTGGAGGAGCTCTTGCAAGAGCATCAGGACATCCAAAAGGTCGTGTGCCGACCTTCAGAACTCGCTGAGTTGCACACGACGCTGACGCAAAGCAGCGCTCAGATCAGTGCCGAGTGCCACATGCGCCGGCGGAGAGGCTTTGCAAACGGCATGTCTGGGAAGGCAGGCGCTCAAGCGAGGGTCCTGCGCGAGCCTCTGGAGGTTGGCTTCCTTGTACTGGGAACAGGGGAGCACAGCGCGAGTTGCCTGAAGGGAAAGAGTCTGAAAGCGAAGGCGAATGAGGCCTTTGGACACGGGGACTTGCCAAGAGCCTTGGAGCTCTATGGTCAGAGCCTAAGATCCTTCCAGAAGTGTCCCAGCCACGAGCAGCCGCTGGTCAAAGAGGAGGAGGCGAAAGTGCACGGAAACAGGGCCGAATGTTACCTCCGCCTCACACGCTGGCAGGAAGCCGTTGAAGCCGCCGGCGCGGCGCTGGAAAATGACGGCCGGTCGGTCAAGGCGCTCTTCCGGCGAGCGAAGGCGCACAAGGAGCTGGTAGAGCGAAGCTCCGCCATCAAGGATCTCAAGCTGGCGCTGCGCATCGACGGGAGCAACGCGGCCGTACGGGGGCTGCTGAAGGAGCTTCTGGCTGAAGCTAAGGAGGATCCCAAGGAGACTCCCAAGGAAGCTCCCAAGGAAACTCCCAAGGAAACTCCCAAGGAAACTCCCAAGGATTCCAAGGAGGTCCCACATCTGGGCCTAGACGCGGCCTCTTGGGCTACCGGGCTGTCTCCGGCCATGCAACAGGAGTGGCTAGTAGATTGCTATCGCATGCGCATTGATGACGAGTATGTCTGGGGCTGTAGCGGGAGGTACAGTGTGAACTCCACGGTCAACTTCCTGCACTTTTGCAAGCTCGCGGTCAAAAACGGTGTCATCCCCAACAACTGGGAGTGGAGAGCTTTCGTGCGGAAGGCTCGCCAACTCCTGCCATATGCCTTCGAGAAGTCCGACGCGCAGGACAAGTACGGCAGCGAGAACGTTTTCATGGCTGCCCTCGGAGGGCGCAGTTTGCGGCTGACGGCGGAGATCGTCTATGGCTCATCCTGCATGATGGGGTCCCAAGAAGATGAGGCTAGCCGGCGGCTGCGACAGAAGCTTCGCCGCGGGGCTCTGGAATCCAGCCTCTTTGTGGACATCGGCGGGCAGGAGGTCTGGGAGGAATGCTTCCCGCTGCTTGCCATGGGTGGGCTGATGGGTGGCAAAGGAAGCAAAGGCAGACCTGCAGGTGGCAAGGGCGGTAAGGGCCGCAAGGGCTTCCAGGCTCCGGCCACGAGCATCCGGTGCTGCTACCACATGCAAGGCTGCTGTAGCTTCGGCGAGCGATGCAAGTTTTCCCATGAGGCGGATTCCCACAACCGTCCATGCCAGTTTGGGGCACGCTGCCGCCTGGGCCATGGGCACATTTCAAACTGAGAAAAGAGCGCGGCTGCTTCGGCAGTGTTGTCTTTGCCATGAGGACCATGAGTTGACTTTGAGATTCAAGTTTAGGGGGGGGGGGGCGTCCCTTGTGCACCGCGACACGCGACACGAGGTTTGGTTTCGGCTCTCTGCGGGGATGTCGCTTCAAGTCGCTGCTGCGTTGCTTCCCACCCTTCTCGACCCCTGCCATCCCCCGACACCATGGGATGTTCCCCCTTATACTGAATAAGCACACCAGTACCCCTATTTTTAGCCCATTAGTTAGTATAAGGGGGAACAGCCCAACCCAGACCTAATGGCCGAGGTGATGACAAGCCGCCGCCGAATGACAACTACGACTGCCAAGCAGGTCTGGACAAGTGGGAGTCAGGCGGGGGGCAAACAAAATGCCACACTTCCTCGCCACACTTCCTCGCAGTCCATAGGTCTTCGCTGCTCGCACTCAGGGTTTGGTCTAGGGGTAAACCCTAAACCCTAAACCCGAAACCCGAAACCCTAAACCCTAAACCCGAAACCCCCATAAACCCTAAACCCTAAACCCTAAACCCTAAACCCTAAACCCTAAACCCTAAACCCTAAACCCTAAACCCTAAACCACTCTAAACACACACGATCCATGGACATCCGACACATTGCGGCACCCTGCGCAGTGTGGCCGGATGCGAAGCGTGCCTGGTGCTGCTACACCCACAAGCTCGCCTGACAGCCGGCCGCAGAAGCCTAAACCCTAAACTCCAAGCTCCAAGCCCTAAACCTTGAACCCTAAACCCTGAACCCTAAAACCTAAACCCTAAATCCTAAATCCTAAACCCTCAAGGATTTCTTTCAGGGCTCAGTGCGAAAGCGGAGCCTTAGCGTGTCTGTAGGGCTTTGTGGATCAGGTGCTCTATACAACCCCTTGAAATGGTATGTATGTATATATATATACACATATATATAGAGAACAAAAACAAATATATATATATATATATATCTATATGTCTGGGAGTTTACGATATTAGGGGGTACCTTGTTCGGGTCCATTTTACAAGAGGATCCTACTATTTAGGGGTCTATATTAGGGGTCCCTTATTCTCGCAAGCCCCCATACACATAAAAATGCTACCCCCCCTTGGATCCACCGTCTTGGTGGTCCCAATTACATAAACATGCTTGAACAATGCGCACATGATGGCGTACACACGATGAAGAATCAGATTCTTGCCAGTTCTCGCCAGCTTTCCCATCGCCCCCTCTTTGCCCTGGCAGCTTTGGTGCCACAGATCCTATGCCAGGGTCCTTCCCAGAGTTGGTGAGTCAAGGCTTTGAGCAACGTGTCCGCCTTTCACCAACCTCAAAGATTGGCAGTTGGGTTGGTAAACCGCGCATGCAAAACAAACCGTCAGAAGCGGTCGTTGGCAGGTCTTTGCTGTTTTTGTTTTTCCATCGGGTCGATAGCAGATTTGAGTGACTGAGAGCATTTATGACATGCTTTCTAGGGTTTAGGATTTAGGGTTAAGGTTTAGGGTTTGGATGGGGTTTAGGGTTTCGGGTTCCGGGTTTCGGGTTATGGGTTTAGGGTTTAGGGTCTAGGGGTAAAGTTTAGGGTTTAGGGTTCAGGGTTTAGGGTCAACATGATAGGGGGCATATAAGGTACCAAGTTCTCGATTTCCCCATTGAGAACTAGTCAGCCGCTCAGGTGATCCGTACAACTGCCAGGCGGGGGACACTGCGAAAGTGGTCCTGGGCCATTTGTAGCTGTTTCGGGGTCATGTGGTCTACCCAGACTTTCACATGCACCCTGAAACCATATCAGACTTCCACATCCGCCCTAAAGCCATGCGCCCTAAAGCCATCTGAAGCCTATAGGCCCCCCAAAATCTGCATAACCCTAAACCCTAAGCCAACCCTCAACCCTAAACCCTGAACCCTAAACCCGAAACCCGAAACCCTAAACCCTAAACCCTAAACGTCTGTCCGCAGAGAGGAGAACCTCACCACCTGGAACTCGACATGGTCCTCTAACAAGAAGGCCGGCCCACACCGGCACATCAATCCCCAAAGAGCATGTGCGTTTAGGTTTAGGGTTAAGGGTTAGGGTTTAGGATGTCGGGTTTAGGGTTTCGGGTTTTTTCGGGGTGCGGGTTAGGAGTTTAAAGGTTTAGGGTTTTAGGTTTTTGGGGGTTTAGGGTTTTAGGGTTTGCCCATCTTGACCTGGACTAGGCAAGCACTTCTTTGCTATGCATCCGTGCTCTGGAAGCTTCGTGTACATTCCTTGAGCAGCAGCCCAGCGGCCGGACGCTGAAAGTTTGGCCGTGTTGGCAGTGTCCAGTTCTCCAAGCTAAAGTCCATGGTTAGGTGCCCTAAATAAATAAAAAAAAATATATATATATATACATATAAATACAAAAAATATATATATATATAAATAAGGGCCCCGGCATGATATTCGGAACCCTAAGCTTTGCGAGCTTGGTTGCAGATGAAGGGTTCCGGAGGCCTGGTGTTGCAAGCATCAGCGCCTGGGCTGCCGGTACAACTGCACCGCAGGTGCCACGAGCGCTGGATTGCTGTGAAGGGATGCAACACAAGGTGCCAGAAGAATTACCATTTGCTATACATGTCCATGTTGTGGGAGCTCAGCAAAGATGAGGAAACCACATGTTTCAAGTTAAGGGAGCCAAAGTTAAACTTGAAATTGGGGGGTTAAAGAGCAACCAAGTATCCATACTGTGGAAACTTGACACAGACTGAGGAAGAAGGATGGGGAGCTCGGGTGGGGCTGATGCAACGGCTTGTTCAACCCGGGGTTTGCTAGCCGGGAGGTTTTAGGGTTTGCAACCCTAACATCCCTAAGCTCCTAAACTCCTAAACCCTAAAATCCCTAAAATCCCTAAATCCCTAACATCCCTAACATCCCTAACATCCCTAAATCACTGAAATCCCTAAAATTCCAAAATCCCTAAATCCCCAAACCCCCTAAATCCCGAAAAGTGTTCAGCCTCTAACCTAGGGGTGAGGGATGTTCATCTTAAACCCGAGGGGTGAGGGAGTCTGGGGACGGCCGCCCGAGCTTGCGGCTAGGCGACGACGCCTGGCAAGGCAGGGGGACTCTCGCTGCAACCGGAACCTCTCCCAACAAAAAGGCCCCCAGGCCCTAAACCCCTGAAGCCCCCCCCCCCCCCCCCCCACCTTACCGCAACTTCAAAATCCCAAAGGCACCACAACCCGAAATCCTAAACTCTACTACCTGAAGCCTGAAGTTCCTCCATTCCATTGTGCATGGCACGTTGAGCTCAAAGGGCTTCCGGGTTTTGGATGAAGATGTCCACGGCGAGGCATTTAGGGTTGAGGGTTCAAGAATTTCCAGGGTTTGTGCTTCAGAGGGTCAAAGGGTTTGCGAGGTGTTTGGGGTTCATGGGTTCATTGAAAAAAGGCTTATAGGGAACTTAGTAGTTGTAGGGGATATAAGGGTTTACGGGGGGTTACACGGTTTTTGGGGGGTTTTGGGCGGTAGGTTTTTTTCGACCGACTGCACCTTTCCACAAGGAGGGTTTGGGGTTTAGGTTATAGGGTCTTTAAGGGGGGGTTCATGGGGGTACTAGGGGCCCTCAAAAATAGCTGGGTTACATACCCAAGCCCTAAACCCTAAACCCTAGACTCCAAACCCTAAACCCTAAACCCCAAAGCCTAAACTCTAAACCCTGAACCCTGAAGAACACTATAATTCGGGTTGGCTCGCTGTGTCGCAGATTGGCCTGGCAAGCAGAAGGACTGGTGTTGTGCACAGCAGGCCTAGCGCAGGGCATGACAGCACGTAGTTGTGATCAAGAATAGTTGTAGCACTAAACCTTAACCCTAACCGCAACCCTAAAGCCCTTAAACCCTAAACCTAATAGATTTGCTTACCAGGGCTCATGCGAAGTGTCTGAGCGTTGAAGCTGCAGCATGTTCCGGTCTGTTGCGGTTTGGGGTTTAGTCACGGTGCAGGGTTGAGGAGAAACCTTTTCCTCTCCGCCTTTGTTCTTGTTGAGGCGATGGGTGCTCTAGACCCGAAGCCAAGAAGTTAGAAGTTGCATCCGGAGATCAGAAGATTAGGGTATGTAGGGTAGTTTGGGTATATAGGGTTAGTGCGGCGCCCTAAACAAAAAAGAAGCGTGCTCAGCTTACTCTGACTTGGAAGGTTTAGGGTCCCTGGACTCTGAAATCTGCGCCATTCACTCTGCAGGGCGTGGCCTGCGAGCCCTACACCTGCACAACAGGCAAGCTCTGACCCCGGGTGCTTCACCTAAACCGACAAGTTCGGGTCCTAAACCCCAAGCCTCTCAACCATAAACCCTAAACCCCAAATCCTGAACCCTAAGCCCCTTAACCCTAAACCCCTAAGCCTCAAAGCCCCCGACCCTCAGTTGGTTGTCCACGACTAGGTACGTCTTAGGCCTCCCACCAGAAAGCCAGGTTTAGGGTTTAGGGTTTAGGGTTTAGGGTTTAGGGTTTAGGGTTTAAGGTTTAGGGTTTAGGGTTTAGGGTTAGGGGCCCGCCAAGTCGCTGATAATGTGCAGCAGCCCCCTAAGACCTCCGACCAGAAAGCCAGGCATGGCTGGTTTAGGGTTTAGGGCTTAGGTTTGGGGTTTAGGGTTTAGGGTTTAGGGTATAGGGTTTAGGGTTTAGGCTTTAGGCTTTAGGCTTTAGGCTTTAGGCTTTAGGCTTTAGGCTTTAGGGTTCGCGAAAAACCCGGCGGACAAAACCTAGTCGCCCCAAGCTCCTTTGCAGGCCACGGCAAGGCCAATTTTGAAGCCTGGCCCGGGAAGAAGAAGCCGCTCGGGAAAGCACCCGAAACCCGAAACCCGCCGAAACCCGAAACCCGAAACCCGAAACCCGAAACCCGAAACCCTAAACCCTAAACCCTAAACCCTAAACCCTAAACCCTAAACCCTAAACCCTAAACCCTAAACCCTAAACCCTAAACCCTAAACCCTAAACCCTAAACCCTAAACCCTAAACCCTAAACCCTA